ATCAGAGGAAAAAAGTCTGTGTGTGGGTATATGTGGTCATTTGAGCAAAAGACCGGTTCCTCAGCCACATGTTTTTAAGCACTGAAAAATGTGTACACATGCCTAGTGACTGGTATTTTTCAAGTTCTATTGTTTGCAGGGAGAAGCAATGCTTTCTGAGGGAAATATCATTACTCTTCATCCATGACACAATGAAACAGACATAATACAATAAGGAAACTGAAACTGTAAGAATTAAAACCCTGGCTGAGGAAACAGTTGCAGTCATTTCCACCTTCGGGGCTACTGGTTCTACATTTTGATATTTAGAAAAAAGAAACTTCCCTCTGAGGACATGCTGGTTCATCTGGGTTTTTTCCCCTCTGAATATTAAAAACAGAAGTCTGAACAGTTGAAGTTATCTACTAAACTTCTTTGTTGTTCTAATTACATTTTTAACTATTGGAGTGGATTTCATATTTGGACAACCAACAGAGCTCTTTTCAACTTTCTCTTGACATTTCAGTAAAATGACCCTTCGTGTTCTCAGCAGGAGGGCCTATTTGAAAATAGGAAAAAATATCTGCAAGGGTTTGACCTGCTACTACACTCTACTCTCCTTAGAAAAGGAGCACCACCAAGCTGGATTGCTTGTGTCTTCATCCCACCCAGGGATGGAACACTTGTTTTAGCCCCGCCCACATGCCAACTAGTAGTCTGGACTGTTTGTTTCTCCTGCTTATCTGGACCACTGCGAACACCTGCTGTTGATACAGCTCTCCTTGTCCACATCTCTCGTGCACCCGCCCCTAGGTGTCAGCTCCAGGTCCATTTCATTCTGCCGAAAAGTAAACAGGCCCGTGTGCCCGGCTAAGCTATGACGGCAGGTGCAGGGTTTCCTTGTGTTTGTGTTTAGAGAAGAAAAGCTCACATGCGTGGATGAGTGTTTGGACCTGGCACTAACTGAATGGAGCCTGGTGCCCGGGGACATAAGTTATAAATCATTCAATGTGTCATAACCCTCATAATTAATGCCTTCCTTCAACAAAAGAAGGAAGATGTCTGGGAGCCTGGCAAGTTCTTATCTAAGATGTGCTTTATGCATCACACAAAAGACTTTGGGCATGTTTGGGTTTATTGGTTTATGGAAAGTACATGACAGCACTGCCAACTAGCTTTGGAATGCATGATTTTAAAAAACAGACGTAGCCTTGATGTGTTGTTGTAAAGGTAAGTTCTTATTGAGAAAACGAAATGGTACTATTTTCCATGCATTTATTCTGAAACAAGTAGCATTGCTGAGCAATTGTGGATCTGTTTATCTACTCTTATTGCTTGGCTTTGGTTTGGGGAATGCGTTTCCTTCTACTCACAAGTAGGAACTCAGCCTTTTTGGAGGCCAGGGTAAGGTTTCACATCTGGATTTGTGCTCATGTCCCTGCAAGGATGGCAAGCCACTTCCCTATGTCAGTTGGGTAACTCTATCATTTCCTTCTGTTAAATGAAATAATGCCCAAAATCTTTAGCTTCTTAAGTCATGTAAGACTTCTTCAGCTGGGTAGCACAAAAAGCATAGCACATGCCCTCCCCAGAGAATATGATTGCTTTTCACTGAACGCTATTTGAAGACTGGCAATTTTTACATTATTTGGGAAAATTTTCTCAAACCTGGCAATATTTACACATAGAGATAGAAGCTGCCAGAAATCAATCAAGGGAATCTTGGTATTAACTATATTACACACAACTTTGTGCAAAGTATTATTAGCGTATTTGGTTCCGCTATATTTTAATAGACCAATGCTGTATTTGTGGGGTTTTTTTCTCAGAAACTGGTTTAAAAATAAATAATTAATAAAAAGCAGTAATTTCTAATCACAGTGCTGTCTTTAACACTCAATTCTAACTTATGTCATACATTATTTATAAAGTCAACTCCGAAAGATAGTTTTAATGTACTTAAGTATTTACGAACACACAAAACCCAGAGGCTATTTTCTTTTTGGAAATGCAAAAGACAATTCAATCAGCAATTTTACTGAGCCATCCAGCCCCTAAAAGCTTCCCCTGAGATTGCCTTCATTCACACTGCATCACGCTCCAATTTCATTTGTATCAAAGTGTTCTAGCAGGATTCAGACTCAGCCTGGGCTGGAAAGAGAACTAGGAGAATACTTCAAGCTGGTAGGAGAAGGCAAGAGGGTTCTTTTTTTTACCTGAGACTGGGCTTGCAGGGACAGTTTCAGCTCTTCATTGTCTGTGGCTGTCATGCTGGTTTGGCCACAGGTCACTTTGTGAAGCTCTTCCCAGCATTCTTTGGGCCTGTGGTTGCAAATCAGTGCCAGGAGTCTTGAACTTTTCGTCCCGCTCATGGCACATTCGTAGAAAGTCCCATTGAGCAAAGCCACAGACAGCCACATCATTGGAGCCACCAAGGAACTCAGAGTGATCTGCCCCAGGACATAGAAGAAGCGGCAGCTGTGGCCTCTGGGGAAGATTTTCCTGGGATTCACGCAGCAGCCTGTGAAGAGTCTCCAGGACCTATTGTTCAGAAAGAATCCCAGGATCAGTAAAACCCAGGCAGGAGCAAAAAGGAAAACCAGCCCATAGACCACATTCTCGCTGCTGCAGGGGCACTTAAATGCCACGAGGGAAAAGAGCCGCTCACTTCCCAGAGTCAGCAGAGCCATGAAGCTGTAGCCAATCACTGTTTTCTGGTTCAGGAGGAACTTTAAAATCCCATTGAAAGCATCCATTTTGGAGATAAACAAAGAGGGGAAGTGCTTTGCCCTTATTTATTGGCAGAGCCGTGGTGGCCGGCACCGAGGGTGGAGCTCTCCCTTCATCTGGAACAACAGTCCTCCTTCTCAGACCGAATTCAGACAGATAAGGAAACAGGGTCATTCCTGAGGAATGAATATTTCCCAATCCTGCTCAAACAATGCCTCCTACTGCTGAGTGCTGGGCTGTGAAACTAGGGCCAAGACACTGAGAATTAACTTCACAGGGCAGAGCCTCCATTTTTATGTTATTTCCATGCATAGAAAATCTGAAAGAAATTCTCACTCAGACAAAAAAAGGCCTAGGAATTTTCCAGCCAGAGAAATCGACACCGCCAGAAATGTGTTTCTGCCAGTTGGTCAGGAGCCAAATCAATCTCCAAGCCTGGAGTTTTGTGCTGGTTTTTTCCCCCCCTACCTCTTGGTACTTGAGGGGTGGAAGATTCACTTTATATCCCTTAAAGCTGGCTAGTGTCAGAGATTTGAAATGAATTTCAGGGGTGGGCTATTAGAAATGTATATGAAAAAGTTTAGGTAGCCTTTGAGTTTTGAATAAAAGAGAAAATGCGGAGAGTCCTCATCAGTTCTTTCCTGGGCTCTGACAGTGATCTCTTCATGGGTATCTCTGCCTTTGGCCTCATGCCCAGCCCACCCCGATCCTGAATCCACCCTCCCAGCTGACACGTGAGGAGCTTCCTCTAACACAGAAATTTAATTCTGCCTTAGCTTACTCACGGCTTTGGGCCTCTCCTCGGCCCACAGGCTGATAAGTGCCAGCCTCCCATGAGCCTTATCATGGTTTTCCATGCCCATGACATGCTCCCTCTACCTAGAAATCCCCACTCACCCCCACTTTGTTCACCTGACAAAGTCTCACTCAGTATTCGCGAACAGGGTAGAAGTTTCTTCCTCTGTGATTATTTCCAGGATTGTTTCATAATACAGAGTGGGGCAAAGGAGGTTTGCAGTTATTCACATGGAAAACAATGCACTAATTAATAAATAATAATATAAGAATAAAGTCTGCGTTTCACATACTCACAATTGTAAACCTACTTCTACCTTACCCCATATATAACAATGTACTGCAGGGCTTACTACACCATTGCAGTTCTTTGCCTAATGTCTGTAGCCCCCTTTTAACTATAAGTTCTTATGAAGCAGGAACTACATTTTATGAACTTGTATCCTGGGTTCAAACGTGCTGTCAAAGTCAGTTACTGAACTCACACTGCGTGCCAGGTACTGTGCTAGACAGGCAGTGTTCACTGAGTATTGAATGAGTGAGTGAATGAATGAAGAGCCTTAATTAGAGGTACTTCTAATTAGAAATAATGAAGGAAATTATTTCTATTTTTCCTCCTACACTGGTGTTACTTTTAAAATTAAGTTAATTAAGGCACCTGAAGACAGTAACCCATCAAGCTGCCACATGCCCACGAACAAACCTCATATCCCATGTCTGTGCGTATTGTGAAAAGAAAGGGCCTTGGACTGGGAGCCACGGAACCAGGGTTTAGGGCAACCTTGACCGTGTACTTTTACCTCTCCGAACCCCCAGTTTACTCATTTGTGAAAATGGGTATGAAACAGAAATAATCTTCAAGGTTCCCTCCACGTCTATGTTGTAAACATTTTTGAGCCCTGTAAAACAGGAGACCGTTTGAGAAGTTACTTAATGACTCATTTTGTGCTTCTCACCACCAAACCCTTGCTCCTTATCCTCGACTTGCCATCCTTAGTCATGTGACAACCCCATTTTCCCAAACACACTTCTCAGTCTAAGCTTCCTGTAGCGTCCTTCGCTTTATCATTGATGATATGGAAGATGTGTCCCTTCTAAATCTTGTTGTTTACTAATGTGACAAATATATTGTCCTAATTCATACTAACATGTTGATAATTAGTCATATTTCAATCTCCTGCCTTCCTAAAGGACATTTATTTTTGAAAAAGATTTTAGGAAATAATGCTTAACTCTTTTGGAAAGTTATATTGTGTCCTCAGAAACTAGTCCCTTAAGATAGCCCAGTGTAGTTCCATAAAAATAAGAGGATTTAAGACTTACACTAGTCACAGCATCAGTACGTTTCAAAGCCAGGTGTGAGCCCGGACTTCCTGATGTGCACTCCAGGAGTTTCACCGTTACTCAGCACTGCCCGGAACAGGGCATTTGGCTGCTGTATTCATAGACATTTGTTCTAGAGCAAGCTTTTGTAATTTTTCTCTCTCTTTCGTTAGGTTGCTTTCAAGATGTACTTGGGAATCACACCAAGTGTGGCCTGTAACAATTCAAGCAGAAATGAATTTTCCCTGATTCTAGACAAGAATCCTCTGGTGGAGTTTGTGGAAGAGCTCCCTGCTGGGCGGACCTCTCTGTGCTACTGCAATTTACTCTGTGGCATTATCAGAGGTGCCCTGGAAATGGTAAAGTGCCTACTTCATTTTGCTGGTTACATTTGTTATCTAGCACTGGGTAACAAATCACTCCGGAATACAGCAGCTTAAACAACCAGGGTTTATTATCTCACATAGCGTCTAAGGATCAGAGATGTGGGCGCAGCTTAGCAGGGAGGTTGCGGCTGAGAGATTTTCGCAGCTTGATACTCATGCAGTCAAGCTGTTGGTCAGGGCTACGGTCTCTGAACCTGACAGACTAGAGAATCTGTTGATACTTTTCATGCCCACTCACACAGCCTCAGTGCCTTGCTGGCAGTGGGCTAGAGGCTTCATGAAGTTCCTCCTTGCTAAAGAGGCTTCTCAGTCCATCCAAACACAGTAGGTGCTGCCAACCCTGGTACACAGTGGGAGGGGACACCTTAGGGCGTGAACAACAGGAGGCAGGGATCATTGCAGGCCACTTTGGAGCCTGGCTTCCACACCTACATTACCCTTGGTTAACGACTTAATTAAGGCAATTATTAGCACCTGCTAAGAGTCAGGCGCTGAACTTGCAAAGATGAGCAAGGCAAAGCTGGTGCCTTTCACAAAAGTTCTGTCCTATAGAGAAATCAAACGTATAAAGCAGTGTGACTAAAGACTACAGGAGGACCTGGGTTGGGGTGGATGGAAGGTCAGGAAAGACTTCCTAGAAAAACTCTGATCTGGCATCTGAAGGATAGAAAGAAATTAGGTGAGGTGAAGGCCTTGGGTAAGAGAAGCAGGGGGAATAATATTCCAGGTAGAAGGAGCAGCATGTCCAGAGGCACAAAAAATATTTCCTTCAAGAAACAAGGAACTTGAATTAGTTTAGTATGACTGACATGTAGATTGAAAGAGGGTTCATCGTGGGAAAGGAGATATAAATTTTCTACAAAGGCCTGATATATAAAGGGATTCACATGACAAGTTGGGAATTAGATTTTTGTATTGAAAACAGCAGAGATCCATTATAGTTTTATAAGCAGGTGAATGATATTTTGAAATTTATGTTTTATTTTACTTCAAGTATATTGTATTCATTATGCTATTAGAGTTGTCCCATTTTTCTCCCCTTTATCCCCTCTGCCCTGCAACCCTCTCCCCTCCATCATTTCTCTCTCCTTAGTTTATTGCCATGGGTCGTACATATAAGTTCTTTGGCTTCTCCATTTCCTATACTATTCTCAACCTCCCACTGTCTATTTTACCTACTAATTATACTTCTTATCCCCTGTGCCTTTTCCTCTATTTTCTCCCTCTCTGCTGATAATCCTCCTTGTGATCTCTATTTCTTTGATTCAGTTCCTGTTCTGTTTTCTTAGTTCTTTTTGTTTTTGATTTTTAGGTTTAGCTGTTGATAGTTGTCTTTGTTGTCACTTTACTCTTCATATTTTTGATTTACTTCTTTTTCTTAGATAAGTCCCTTCAACATTTCATATACTATAGGTTTGGTGATGATGAACAACTTTAACTTGACCTTATCTGGAAAGCACTTTGTCTGCCCTTCCATTCTAAATGATAGCTTTGCTGGAGAAAGTAATCTTGGATGTAGACCCTTGCCTTTCATGACTTTGAATACTCGTTTCCAGCCCCTTCTTGCCTGCAAGGTTTCTTTTGAGAAATCAGCTGATATTCTTTTGGGAACTCCTTAGTAGGTAACTGTCTCCTTTTCTCTTGCTACTTTTATGATTCTCTCCTTATCTTTAATCTTGGGTAGTTTAATTATGTTGTGTCTTGGTGTGTGCTTCCTTGGCTCCAACTTCTTTGGGACTCTCTGAGCTTCCTGGATTTCCATGTTTATTTTCTTCGCCAGGTTGAAGAAGTTTTCCTTCATTATTTGTTCAAATAAGTTTTTGATTTCTTGCTCTTCCTCTTCTCCTTCCAGTACTACTATTCAGATGTTTGAACGTTTTAAGTTGTACCAGAGGTGCCTAAGCCTCTTCCTATTTTTTTGAATTTTGTTTCTTCATTTTGTTCCAGTTCAATGTTTATTTCCTCCTTCTGTTCAGTCCTGGTTTCCTTTGCTTCACTGTTGGTTCCCTGTATACTTTTCTTTATTTTGCTTTACATATTCTTCACTTGTTCCTTTATTTTGTGGCCATACTTAATCTTTTCTGTGAGCATGCTAATTACCAGTGTTTTGAACTCTGCATCTGATAGGTTGGCTATCTCCTCATAACTTAGTTCTTTTTTTCTGGAGTTTTGATCTGTTCTTTCATTTGGGCCATGTTTCTTTGTCTCAGTGCACCTGTTACATTGTAAGGGGTGGAGCCTTAGGTACTTGCCAGGGTGGGGTAACCCACATGACTGCACTGTGGCACTGTCTGTGGGGGAGGAATCAGAGAGGGAACAGTGCCGCTTGCTTGGCTCTTGCCACACTTTCAGACACTTCCCCTGCTACCCACAAGTGAATTGTGCCTTTTTGGTGCTGATTCCTGGGTAGATGGGTTTGTGTACACTTTAGGACCCTGTAGAGCCCTCCAGACAGACACTCCTGTGAGACTGGGAGTTTCACTCACTGCCACAACACCCACAGATTTTTACAGCCAGAGGATTTGAGTCTTTATTCTTCTGCACTGGAACCCTATTTTGTACAGTCTGTCTCCCTCCCCAGTTGTTCCTCCCTAGTTATCTACATGTGGATGTGGGACTTCTGGGTCCACTAGTCACTACCTCGCCATCTTCTCTGCCAGCTGCCACCTTGCCAATCATCCTCTCTGCACTGGCTGCCTATCTCTGCCTCTCCTACCAATCTGGATGAATGTTTCTTCTATAACTTCTTGGTTCTGGACTATAATACAGTTCAATTTTCTGGCAGTTCTGGAGGTTTTTTCTTTTTAAATTGGTTGTTGTCCTTCTTTGGTTGTGCAAGGAAGCAAAGTGTATCTACCTACACCTCCATCTTAGCTGGAAGTTGAAATTTGTGTTTTAAAAATCTCATTCTTTGTCAACAAGTGAACATGGACAGGAGGAGAAATTAAGGAGGGAAGGGGGAGCAGCTGGGAAGCTGATCCTAGTAACCTCAAGATAAACCAGATAAAGCCCTGGTGGTAGGAGTGGAGACAAGACCAATTTCAACAACATTAAGAAGGTAGAGCAGACTTAAGATTGGGTAATCAGTTGACTAAAGGGGCAGGTTGAGAAAAAGACTCAGGAATGATTTTTAGGTTTCTGAGCAATCTATTGGGATGGTTGTATGTTTAACCAAGAAAGCAAAACCAGGAGATGTACCTCTGGGGACAGGAGAGACAAAGTGAGAAGTTCATTTAGGCAGTTGCTGGGACCGATGTGTCTCCACACACCAGTGATGACACACTAAGCGGTTGTTACCCATATCTGGAGGTCACAGAGACATGTGGGCTGAAGGGCATGGAAACTCTCAAAGAGCATCTATAGAGAGGTTTGAGTAAAAAAAAGTCACAGATGGAACTCTACGAAGCAATGAAACAAACTAAGTTAAAGAGAGAAAATCAAGGCAGTAAAGGATACCAAGAAGGGGCAACCAGAGCTAGGGAAAATACCAGGAAAGAGAATCTTTCAACAAAAGGGAATGAGTAGCAAGACCAAGTACAGTAGAGGTTGAATAAAACAAGTCTGAAAAATATTCACAACATTTAGGGACCAAAAGGTCAGGAATGTCCATGGTCCCGCAAACAGCTTTTGCTGTTTTGGGGAAATGAAGGGAGAAGACATTCTGTCAAAGATTGACAGCCCACGAGCAGCTTAGCATAGGTAATAATCAAGGGAGTCTCATTTTTCCAGAAGCATAGCTGTTTGGAATAGTGAGACCAGATTGTAGCCCAAGGCCAGGCATGTACTGGTTTACCAGTAATGGGGCATGCATATAATTTCAATTATTTGTGATGATTGGGGAAGGACATAATTACAGGTAATCCAAAAGAGTAAAGCAGTAGAAATAATGTATCAGCCACCAATAAATTCCACATTTCTTTTTTAAATTTAAATTATTTTATTGTTGTTCAATTACAGTTGTTCATATTTTCCCCCCAATTCCCTCCGCCCCACCAAATTCGACATTTATACCTTACCATTTTCTAAAGCTTGCCCTAAAATCAATGGCCATGAATTGAAGTAAGGTAGAGTTCTGGCAGTTTATGGGATGAGGAGAAAGAAAGAGAGAGAGAGAGAGGGAGAGAGAGGGGGAGGGGGGAAGGAAGAAAGAAAAAGAAAGGAGAGAAAGAAAACCAAGTTAAAGATAAAGAAGTCTTCATCTCTCATGGATAATTGTTGGCTATATATGCAGAATAACACATAGGCATCAGATCATATGTGGGCCCAAATATCCAAAAAGATTCAATGTAGTCTTCTTGTTATTTTAATTAATTTCCTGTTAAATTTTGACAAAGACAAAAAAAGATCTTATAAGGAAAAAGTGTGAATTTATCTTCCATATTTTAATGTGCCATCTATACCCTCCTATGGGGTGGTGGGCTCACAAAGGTATGGTTTGTGTACCCTGTTTGATCCAAGTAACTTGGCCTACCAAGGTCTGTGGTTTCACAAATACAGGCTGGTTGGCCAAGGAATTCTTAGTGAGAGAGGGGAATGAGTCAGGTAAGATTATAATTAATTAATTATATTAATTAATTGCTTAGTAGGCCTAAGCTTTTCCACTTATTAGTATTTGCTTATATTGGATACTTTCTCTTATTCATTTCCTTTACTCCCAATCACTTAAAATAGCTGAGTGGTATCTAATGAGAGTAGGTCAGCAATACCATGCTGCTCTTATGTGAATATATTTTGATGAACAGAGAAGTTAGCCCTTTGGGCTTACTTAAATGTCTGGGAAATGGGCTATGCTTTACAAAGGAAAAGAGGGCCTCAGTATCAAATATTCATGTCCGTATTTTCAATCTTTAGTTTTATATTCATAATTTATTTAGTCTGTATTTCTTCAAATCTGTCAAAGCCATAAGTGATTGCTAAATATTGTTAGGGCAAGTGATATGCTATTTAGCTAGGGCTTAAATATTGATGGCAAGATGGTTGGAGAGAATTCTTTTATTCTTGGAAATTCTGCTTGCAAGGCACATTGGGTCAAAGCTATCATTGAGTTGGGAATCCGTATTCTTATTGAGATGGATTCATAATGCGAGTCGGTGAGCAAAACTTGGCATGGGCCCACATCCCTGGGTTTGCCCCAGAGGCCTCCATGTTGGGCCTGGCCTGGACTGCCCATCTCTTTGCAGACACACAGCATGGAGCTCACACAGCCAGACCATCTGGGGAAGACACACAGTCAAGGGCTCTTCATCTACAAAGCAAGCTCTTTTTTATAATTCCATAAGGAAAGTCAGCTTCTAAAAAGAGACAAAAATGTAGTGAGTTTTTTTCCTTTAACTCAAATGACATAAATTTTTTTTTGTTTCCTAGGTTCATTTGGATGCTGATGTTGCATTCTTGCAAGACAGACTAAAAGGCGACAGTGTAACAGAAATAGGAATAACATTCCTGAAAAAGCCAGATGAGAAAAAATACAGACGGAAAAAATGAAAAATAGCATGCAAAATGCCTCAGGCTGACTAGCTGAGGAGTTAGTGGTAGCTAAACAAGTACAGCCACTGGAATTTTGAGTTGCTTAATAGCATGGGCTTTAAAAGGATTATAAATCAGCCAGAAATTTGAAATGCCGTGCACCAGGATATGAGGCTGTTTTTCCCCTTTTGCTTTTAAATCACCCAGTTTCAATCTCATGTCAAGATTTCATATACAAATAACTCCTTATAAGATAGAAAACATGAGTAGCACATACTACGTAGTCCAGCATAAGAGGGTCTATTCATTTCATTTATTTGTGGTAACAAAAAAAATATTGTCACCTATACAATTGGTATAGTTATCTCTTCTCATATGAAGAAATGGGTGAAATGATACAATAGAGAGTCCACTACTCACAGTTTCTAGGTCCTGTACATTGCATTCTCTGTGGAAATAGCTCCATTTGTACCAATCTTTCATAGTTATGAAAAAAATGGGATTTTTCTCCAATATTGGCTTGGCTTATAACTTCAGCTTTCTGGAGCTACACTTGATTTGTAATCAACAGGGCAATACTATTTATTTGGATGCTAATTCTGTAACATTTAAAAGTAACAATTTTAATTCATTTAATTTATTTAATTTTTAGATGGCTGACATTAACCTAATTCTTTCCTTTCCTCATGAAATATTACTGATGGTGAGGCCAGAAAATCACTACAATGAGAAGTCAATGATGTTCTTTGAGAATGTTTTCTTATCTCAAGTTTTATTCAGTTATAATTTTTACTATCATTTTTATCACCTAAAAACCTGATAGAGTATATTTTGTTTGTGACCAGAACATACTTAAAATTCAAAATTACTGGATTAAATAAACAATAATCTTCACCAGACCATCAGTGTACAACGAAAACCTATATGGTAGTCCCGACTTTACTGGATTCTGCAGAGAAATCAAATTAAAAGTAAAAGTTACAATTAATATGGCACCATCAGTTAAAACTGCTGTAAGTGCTATGGTAGTGACGGCCTCACCTAGGACTCAGGAGCCTAAAGATGAGGCCCTGTTCTGTTTGTAGTGGCCTCAGTTGATGCTGACCAGTAGCTGGTCTTGGGTAAGGTGTATAATCTCTCTCTTTCTCCCTTTGTAAAATGAGAGGATAGTACATGATAAGGATCTAAAATTATGACAATAAACAAATGACATCAGTAACCACTGAAAATCCACCTCTTTAGGTTTTAGAAGACTATGGGGAAATTGTTCCCCACTTACCCAACTATCTCTTCAGAAGGACGTTGAGGTTGGTACTAAGGAGCGAATAGGGTCACAGGGGCAGCTGTAGCATCAGTGGAAGGACCTTCAAACCTGTTCTACAGAAGACCAGGAGTAAAATCTGGAACGTTGATCAATGCAGAGATTTTGGTTATCTTGGAAAAGCCAAAGGGAAAGAAAGGTTTGGGGCAGATAGTTTAGTGATTTCAAGTGATGTCACCAGATTGTGGTGCACACACAGTTTCCTGAGGAGGCCTGCCTGTTACCTATTTAAAGTTGCCAAGAATCAGAAATACCTCCCTCGGCAGCCTGTACACTTATTTATTGCCTTCTCAAATCTCTCCAGTCCATCTGTTAGTTATCAGAAGCCTGGATCTCTTCATCATTTGGAACAGACTATTATGAGTAACTGCAAAGCTCCCTCTTCTTCCTGTGTATGAAGTGCCTAGAATCTTCCTGCAACCTCTTTACTTCCTTCTTTGCTCCCTTGTCCATTTCATTTATTTCAATTATGCTTCATGTAATGGAAATTTGTTGGCTGCCTGTACCTTTCTGCCTTCTGAGAGAATGACAGTGTTCTGTTCAGGTGCTCACCATTTTATAAAGCAACACAGCTACAACCTCAGAGGAAGTCATCACCTGGCCACAGTGGTTCATTCCTGGTTTAAAACCACCACATTGACAGCCACATATAAGACAGTCAGGACATGACATGCCCCAGACCAGAGGGCAGGGATGACTGGACTGAAGTGAAGAAAGTCTTGCCTGTTACGTGAGCCCATAAATTTACTGTAGTCTTTCAGAGAGTAGTTTGGGTTTCTGTTACAGTAATGCAACAAAGTTCATTGCATTATAAATATGTGAAAAACAATTTGCAACATACTGGAGAATATCAAAGAGAATTGTTCATTATTGCATTTGCACATAGTTGAATGCTCAATAAAATGACATTAAGGTTCACAATAGCTCCCCTCCTCCCAGAGATGAAAAGGTTACAGAAGGGAGAAAAGGGGAAGTTAAGTTTGCAAGTACCTAGCACACAAGTCCCAAAAAAGGAAGATTCTATAGAGAGAAGGCATTTGATATTAGTGCACTGTGAGCTCTTTAAAAACAAACAAAACAAAAAGAATCTCATACATGTCAGGGCCTTGCTTCAACTATTTCCAACAGAACTTAAATTACATTAGGAGTCACTCAAGAATTCCAAAGTCAGAACAATCCTCTGACTTCTGGAGCCTCCTAGTGACCTACATCTTTCAAGCCAGCAGACTGTCCATAGTGACTTGCTGTTTCAGTGTAGTGTGTGAATCACTACACTTTAATGACGTAAGGGAGAAAATTCGAATTCCCAATGTTCTATACATGCCAAACTATATAAGCCCCTAGAAATGCTACTTCCTTGGTTTTGAATTCAATTCAGATTTTTATCAGGTACTAGACACTGTGACTATGTGCTATGGCACTTAATATTCCCAACAACCTGTGAGGCATTGGATAACAGACAAGGAGGAAATGGATGGGAAATTAAAACGAGCTAAATTTGCCAGTGCTTTTAAGTGCATCATGATGAGGGGTGGTGAGTAAAGGGAGCTGGCCATGGCTCCAGCCTGCGAGGCTGAGTGTGAGCCCACAGGAGGCAGAGTCAGTGCAGGAGAGAAGCTAATAAGTTTGGAATATTTTGAGTTTGAGGTGCCTTTGAAACATCTCAACAGCTGCAGGGATTCAGAAGAGAGGAGATCACTATGTGGATACCAGTAAAGGTGGTGGGTATAGACAATAGCCTCTGGGAATAGTGTGGACTTGAGAAAATATGAGAGCAAAAACAGAATCCAGAGGAAAAACACCATTCAAAAGGGAGCAAAGAAAGAAGAGCACAAATAAGACCAAACTTTCAGTCAGAGATGTATGTAGGAGAAAGTGGTGACGCTGAAGCCAAAAGAGTTTCAAATACAGTAGAGTGATTAGAGGTATTAGATGACACAGAAAAGCCGAGGAAGGGATGTTGAATTTTGTAAGGAGAAGGCCTTTGCCCGAGAGCGATTTCAGGGCCAGAGGGAGGAATTGGCCTCACTGTAGTAGATTGAAGAGACAGCAGGAGGTGAGATCCTGTGTACCCAACAGGCCACCAATGCACCCCTCATCCTTCCAATGGCAAACTTTAAGAAAACAAGATGTAGCAGATAGAATGTCCTTTGGACTGACTGAATGTCTCCCCCAGTTTTCATATTTTGAAACCCTGATGCATAATGCGGTATTATTTGAAGGTGAAACCTTTGGGACGAAATTAAAGTTAGATTTAGTCATAAGGATAGAGTCCTTATGATGGGATTAATGTTCCAGAAGAAAAACATAAGATCTCTCTCTCTCTCTGTCTCTCTCTCTCTCTCCCCTGTGAGGATACAATAGAGCAGCCATATGCAAACTAGACAAAAAATCTGCTAGCATCTTGATCTCGGATTTTTCAGGCTCCAGAGGTGTGAGAAATAAATTGTTTAAGCCAACAAGCCTATGGGATTTCATTACAGCTGCTCAAATTGATGAAGAGTGCCAGTTTTCCAAATGCACAATCTTACATTAAAATGTTTACCTGAGTGTTCTCTATCCTGATTCTTCTCCTATATTTCTGTTGGCTATTAATTCTAAATCTCCTTCATTCCCCTTCATGGCTGGCACATTCCTCAACATAGACACAGCATCTGGATAGTGTGACCCTTGCATAGAAAACCTCTCCTCTCCACCCGCTTCCCCTGTCTGTTCCTTTCCCCACTAGTCACTCCACCTTGCTGTCCCAGAAGCAGATATCTGGAATGCCCAAAATTCAACTCACTATATTCTCTCACCCCCTAAATCTCTTTTCCTTCAATATCTCATTTCCTAGTTAATTACCTGTTGTAAAAACTAAAAGCCTCATATCCATTTTCTACTCCTTTTTTACTATTTATATCTAATCTGTCACTAAGTTCTTTTAATTCTATATTCTAAACTCCTTTTGACCTCCCCCCCTTCATTTAGGGGCTGATCTGCTTTTAACTGGTTTGTTATCTCCAGTTTCCAATTCCATTTTACTTTCTACACTGGAATGCAGGGATCTGTAGAAAACACCAATGAGATAATGGTACAGCCACACTACAAACATCTCAGAAGCTTTCCTGTCTACAGGATATAGCCTCTAGGACACACTATACTCTTTATCCATGAAGTGAAACCCAATTCTCAACCTCCTGCATATGACACTCATTAAAGTCTACCCTTACTGACCCATCTTCCCATTCCACCTCTCGACTGGGTGTGTTGCCCCCAATCTCTGGTTTCTTTAGTATCGTTTGCATATCTCTCCCCCATAAACTGAGTATTTTCCTACAGGTCCTCTTTCCCTATTAGTGAGTTCCTCTTTGGCAAACAGTGTATCTTTTTTATCTTTGAATTCCCACAATGTGGCAGAGTCCCTGACACTCAATCAATACTAGATAGTACTTTTGGTAGTGAAAAATATGCAGAATGAATGAGTGAATGAATGAAGATGATAGTCTCTAAGTCTAATTGGCCCATCTTGAAAGATTGTTCATCACTTTATATAATTTATTTGGCCTTCTATTGTTTATGTCAATGTTCTGTAAAGTACCAATATAAAGGACATAGAGTGTGACCTTGAAATTGCAGACTTCTTTGTTGTGAGGATATCTAGGATGTTTTAGATATCCTAGATTTTATCCAGAATCAGGTAATTTGCTTTGCTGAAGAAGGTGAGGAATAGGCTGGAGTAGCAAATGCATAACTTTACTGCATTTTTGGTCTGCCCCTTAATTTTCTGGAGTGGCCAGAGTTTCCATGAAAAATAACATAAATGATCTTTATTCTGCCTATCCTTTGGTTTTCTCAAGGGCTCATTTTCCTCAAGGTATATGCTTTAAAACTAAAAACCATATGGACTATAGTACAATGAAAGTGGGTATCTGACCATAAGAGATTTTATTCTCCCTCATAGGTGAATTGAATGTCTTAAAAGAACCCCAATAGAAGTGCTCATTATGCCCTGAAGTCTTGCTGAATAACAACCTCCTTTCCCTAAATGTCCCTTGAATCAATTTCCCTACACAGTGCCACAGCTTTCACCCTTACCACCACCAGCAATGGTTTTCTCTTCTTGCTGTTCCTGAAAATCAACTATTGTTTTAATTATGTAATGTGTGATTTTGATATTTCTTTTTTTTTTAAAGATTTTATTTATTTATTTTTAAGGAGGGAAGGGAGGGAGAGAGAGAGAGAGAGAAACATCAATGTGCGGTTGCTGGGGGTTATGGCCTGCAACCCAGGAATGTACCCTGGCTGGGAATCGAACCTGGGACACTTTGGTTCCCAGCCCGCGCTCAATCCACTGAGCTACGCCAGCCAGGGCTGATTTTGATATTTCAGTTATTTAGGATGTTATCATTTTTAAATATAGATATTAAACAATTTTGGAAAAATATTATATCTACATTTTGTTTAAACTAATTGAAAAAAGAATACTATAGTGTGCAAAACACTAAGTTTAGGCATATGCACAAGACTATTCATTGGTATTAATTAATGAACAAAAACAACCAAATATCTACCAATTAATCACTGACTGAATAAACTACAGCACTTCTACAAAACAGAGTATTATACTGCTATAAAAAGAAATAAAAAAGATCTTATTTATTTTTTAAATATATTTTATTGATTATACTATTACAGTTGTCCCATTTCCCCCCTTCACTCCCCTCTAACCTGCACACCCTCTCCCACCCACATTCCCCCCTTTAGTTCTGTCCATGTGTCATAAGTTCTTTAGCTTCTACATTTCCCATACTATTCTTGCCCTCCCCCTGTCTATTTTCTACCTACCATCTATGGTAGAAAAGGTACAGAGAATAAAGGTACAGAGGGGGCCCTTTTCCCCCTCTTCCCTGTTGCTAACCCTCCATGTGATCTCCATTTCTGTGGTTCTGTTGCTGTTCTAGTTGTTTGCTTAGTTTCTTTTGGTTTTGTTTTAGGTGTGGTTGTTAATGATTGAGTTTGCTGTCATTTTACTATGCATGTTTTTTTTTAATCTTCTTTTCTTAGATAAGTCCCTTTAACATTTCATAAAATAAGGGCTTGGTGATGATGAACTCCTTTAACTTGACCTTGTCTGAGAAGCACTTTATCTGCCCTTCCATTCCAAATGAGAGCTTTGCTGGATAGAGCAATCTGGGATGTAGGTCCTTGTCTTTCATGACTTGGAATACTTCTTTCCAGCCCCTTCTTGCCTGTAAGGTCTCTTTTGAGAAATCAGCTGACAGTCTGATGGGAACTCTTTTGTAGGTGACTGTCCCCTTATCTCTTGCTGCTTCTAGGATTCTCTCCTTCATTTTTACCTTGGCTAATGTAATTATGATGTGCCTTGGTGTGTTCCTTCTTGGGTCCAACTTGTTTGGGACTCTCTGAGCTTCCTGGTCTTCCCGGAAGTCCATTTCCTTTGCCAGAATGGGGAAGTTCTTTATTATTTGTTCAAATAACTTTCCACTTGTTGCTCTTCCTCTTCTCCTTCTGGTACCCCCATAATTTGGATGTTGGTGCTTTTAAAGATTTCCTGGAGGTTCCTAAGCCTCTCCTCATTTTTTAAAAATTCTTATTTGTTCATTCTTTTCTGTGTGGTTGTTTCTTTCTTCCTTCTGGTCCACTCCATTGATGTGAGACCCAGCTTTCTTTCCATCACTATTGGTTCCCTGTGTATTTTTCTTCATTTCACTTATTGTAGCCTTCATTTTTTCATCTAATTTGTGACCAAAATTAACCAATTCTGTGAGCTTCCTGATCACCAGTGTTTTGAACTGTGCATCTGATAGGTTGGCTATCTCTCGGTCCCTTAAAAGAATGGGTTCTGGGGCTTTCATTTGGCCTTCTGTTTGAGCCATCTCCATCTCTCCCTTTTTTTTTTTTTTTGGTCTGGTGGAGACTGTTATAGATGAGGGGTGGAGCCTTAGGTGTTCACCAGGGTTGGGCACCCCAGTCGCTGGGTTGTGACGTTGTATATGGGTGCGGGGTCTAGATGGAACAATGGCACTTGCTTTGTTCTCCGTGGGACCTTAGTCTCTTCTGCTGCTTCCCCCAAGCAAACTGGGCCCCATCTGGTGCCAATCCTGTGTGGGTGGGCTTGTGCACGCCATGGGACTTTCCAAGGACCTCTGCTGTGAGGCTGGGTGTCTCTCCATGTGCCTCAACTCCCACAGGTGTTTCAATCAGTGTCCCGAGTGTCCCAGCTCTATTTCCCAGTGCTGGGATTCTGGGTTGCTCTCAGTGCATTGCTTCACAATTGCCACCTCATTGGGTCCCCTCGGCTGGGGTCTGCCAGCTGCTGCTTCCTCACCCAGGGTCTACCCGCTGAGGTCTTACTCACCCCTGATGCCTTCCATGCCTAGTCCCAATGCTCTCTGCTCTCCATGCCTTGACCTGAGCCCGGCTGCCCGACTCCACCTCTCCTACTGGTCTGGATGAACAGGTCTATTTCAACTTCTTGGTTTTCTGACTTCCACTCAGGTCAATTTTCTGTCAGTTTTGGTTGTTTTTCTGCTTCTAAATTGTTGTTGTCCCTATCTTGGTTGTGCAAGGAGGCACGGTGCATCCACCTGTGCCTCCATCTTGGTCGAAAGTCTGCAAGATCTTATTTATTATACAGGATGATGTCTTGGTGTCTTGATGATACAGGATAGAACATATTAAGTGAAAAAATAAATTAGAGAGAACTATACACAGTAACTAACATTTATCCAAGAAAGATGAGCTGCAAATAAATATACATATGTGTTTTTTTGGAAAAGAACACACAATGGAAAGCTTAACCAAAAACATTTTTTTAAAGGTTACCAATTTGAGAGAGGGATGAGTGTGGAAGCACCAAGGAAAAAAGCTAGACTTCTCAAAATATGTCTTGTTTGTGTAATTTAACTTTGTAGCCATACAATCACTTTATAAAATAATTCAAGATTTTAAATAAAAGCAATCTTCACAGATGAAAGAAAAATAAATAAACCTAACTGTATATTGAGTTGGTAGCATAAAACAGAGAAGAACTAATTCAACTGATTTTAAACACAGTAATTTGATTCTACAACTTGAGGAGGATATACCTTAAGGACAAAAAGGAACAGACAAGAATACAAAATAAAGAAATCTGAAACTCCTCTCAGTAATCAAATTGTTTATGGTTGTGTTGGTATCTCTATTTTGGATGTTTTGTGGTATAAAAAATGTAGTAATCGAGTTGGTGTTGTTACAATCTGGGATTTTGAGCATGAGAATAAGGAGATTAAAAGGCTTGTTCAATAATATTAAATTAAATTTTATAAAACCTTGTAGTGTAGATTTAAATTGAAACCTATCAGTGTGAATTTATGATATTTACATA